GAGAAGGAGGAGGAGGAGGAGGAGGAGGAGGAGGAAGAGGAGGAGGAGGAGGGGGAGGGGGAGGCGGAGGAGGAGGAGGAGGAGGAGGAGGAGGGGGAGGAGAAGGAGGAGGAGGAGGAGGAGCAGGAGCGGAAACAGCGAGACAACTTTCGTCGTGAGTTTTTGTTCATGACTCGAGGGGGTTTTTGGGACCTCCCCTCGCCTACGCAGCGGGGAGGCCAGAAGAGGCCCGGGTGGCACGCGCACGGACGAAGAGGCCGTTCTCGCCCGTCCGCCCCTGCGCCGCCTCCCCCTCGGCCTGCTGCTCCTCCTCCTGCTGCTGCTCCTCCACAGATCCCAGGATTCCCATTCTCTTGTTCCATTTGTTTTGGATGCTCGTCTTCCCGCCCACTTCCTATGTTTTCGCACATTTTCCTGGGGACCGACGATTCACTGTGTCCGTGTGTGTTTTTACCCCCCTGACGAGTGCTGGATGTCTTGGAAGGTCTTGCGTGGCTCGTGGCGCTCCCCGCGCACCTCCCGGGGCCTGCCGCGCGCTGTTGTGCTCCTCCTCCGTCCGCTGCCGATGCTGCCGACTCCACTCGCCTGGCTGCAGTACCAAGCCCGACCACAGGAGACTCTCCACAAGAAACCCAGTCCTGAGACCCCAGGACGTCTATTGACTCTTGTTGTGGGAGCGTTGCGCTCTCCATGGCAAAACCATCGCCAAGAAACTCGGGGCATTCTGGAGGCAAGCAGGGTGTTCCTTGGCAGGGGTCTCCACTGATCCTGATGGCCTAGTCCACCGTGTCCTCCTCCACCTTTCAATGTCCTCCTGTTCCTCCGTATGGACTCCCCCAAATAACAGATCCGCCACCGTGCCTTCAGCACGACCCGGAGTGCCCCGATGCTCATGCAAACCTGAGAGGTAGAGGATCTCTAAAATTCGTACCTGCCCAGATCCCCGGTGGCCTAGGCGTTTCCGGGCGCTACTGGGCGCTCCTGGGGTGCTCCGCGCAAGCCTCCAGGACGGGAGCCCACCCAGGAGCGCCCCCCAAAACACCTGGACAGCCCCGAGAAGCCCCCAAAGCGTTCCAAGAGGGCCCCAAGTGGCCACAAGATCAATCCCAGACGCCCATTGTGATCTCAAGACGGCCGACGGGCCCCACAAGAAGCTCCAAGGGAGCCGCAGGAACACCTCCCAGAGAGCCCCTATCCATGGGGAAAGAACATACTTTCAGCGTATTCGATTGTTGGGCCTTCGAAGGAATAGTTACGAGTCCGTCATCGCTGTCTCACAATACGCCTCAGACTGGAAACCATACTCCCTCGAAGTGATTGACGTGGACTTGCAACTATGAGGATTCACCGCGCATGCGTCCTCGACTGACTCCAGCAGAAACAGACGTACACAAACCATGCTAGAGTCCGGGCAGCACGTTGCGATGCAACGTAATGCTACTATCCGAACAGACTTGCCTTTACAGAAGCCTCTGGCCCATGTCGTTATTCAAATACAAACCCCACCGACGTCCACCGAAGTGACGCGAAGCAACCGCAATGCCGGCAAGGTGGCGGAATGGGCCGAAGGCCATCAGATCCGCCGCCCCCAGTTGATTTATCACAGGTGCCTGGCGTGCCAGATTTCTTGAATGTTGCTGGTTCTTTTCAAGATGGGGTTTGGGCTCATTGCGCAGAGGCCACCAGAAAAGCTCCGCGCGGGGTGGTTGGCAAGGGTTGTTCCGCTTCGGATGGCTCCAAGATGGCCTCCAAGTCGGCCAAGATGGCCTCCAAGTTCGGCCAAGATGGTCCCAGATTGCCTCCCAGACGGCCCACGAAAGTCAAAGATGCCTCCAAGTTCGCCCAAGAAGCCTCTAAGACGGCCCAAGACAGCCCCAGAGGCCCCCAAGAGGCCTCGAAGACGGCCCAAGAGGCCTCCAATTTTCACCCGAAATTGCCTTGCCTCAAGATTGCCCAAGAGGCCTCCAAGATGGCCTCGAGACGGCCCAAGAGGCCCCCAAGGGCCCAGAGACGGCCCAAGAGGCCTCCGAGATGCCCAAGACGGCCGTCAAGACGGGCCTGAAGAGCCCCAAAAGGGCTCGAAGACTGCCCAAAGAAGCCCCGAATACGGCTTCCGACAGCGTCGAACGTGCTAGGAACGCCGTTAGATGGCCACAGAGGTCCCCAAGGAGCCTCTAAAGGTCCCCAAGAGGCCCAAGGAGGCCCCCGAGGGGCCTCCAAGAGGCTCCCAGGAAGGTCCCAGGAGGCCCCAAGAATGACCCAAGAAGCTCCCAAGAGATCTCCTTCTCCTCATACTCCTGTTTCCTCCCTCTCCTCATCCCCCCACACGTGTTCCCCGAAGGGCTTCCACAATGGCTGGGGGAACGCATGGTCCAATAGCGTGGCCAAGCTTTGCCCAAACGTTTGGCCACGTAAGCGTACCCGAACAGGCAGGGGGCGGCGACGAATCACCGTAGGCGTCTTCGATACTGCTGATGCTACTCCTCCTCTAGCCTCTTCCATCTCCGCAACCTTATTCACCTGCTCCTGGTCCTGGTCCTGGTCCTGGTCCTGCTCCTCCTCCTCCGACGACGACTGCGTCTCCCACATCCTTTTCATTGCTCCGCCTTCCATACGTACGCATGCAGATCGCACTATCCCCCCTCTGATCTTCCTATTCTGCCATCCTCTTCTTCTCCCCGTCCACCTCACCCCCACCTCTCACCCGTCCTCCTATTCTATCGTAATCCCCCTCCCCCCCGTCCACCTCATCCGCTCCTCTGCATTCCACATTACTGCCCGTAGACCGCCTCCACGGAACACCGACGTCACCAGTTTCTTTGCGATGCGGGTCACATGAGCCCTCGACCCCGTCACAAGGACATACTGTTTCGTCCCAGGACAATTCCGCCAGACACAAGCGCCCCCTGGAGGCCCCGACCTGGAACAAATCTATCACCACGTCTTATCGTGACAGTAGACTTCTTGCCATCGCTCGGACGTCCATGCCTCGTGCATTGTTCGGGTTCGTGCGTTCATTCGTTTGCAAGATGGTCCAAGATGCTCCTCGATGGTCCTCGCGTAAGACAAAATGCACACGTCTGAACGAGACCGAATGGAAATATGTACCCAAGACGGAAAATGTGTCGGAATGAAGAATGCGGAAGAAACCCCCCTGCCAGATGCTAAACATTGCTGGCGCCAGTTGACGCCACAATCGATAAGAAACTCCTCCTGACACTTCCCCCTCTTCGCCAGTGTCCCTCCCGTGTTGGTCACGGCAGAAACACCAGACAAAAAAGGAGGCTTCGTTTCGAAATGCTTCCCACGAAAACCTTTCAATCCCACAGTGTCGCCCTGCAGACTTTGTATACGGCCATCCTTTTGAGATACGTATGCCTTTTCAAACTCAATGTGATCAACGACCCGTCGTGCCCTGCCTCCCGGTCTTGAATGCAATCTTCCATACTGGTGCTTAGAGCTGCCGACGCAACATCCAAAGTGATTGCTTCTACGTCAGATTCCTCGTTCGACGCACTCGTGGAGGGCGTCTGCACATGTACCAAAGCCATTCCAGAACAAACTTGCACGCCCATGTTGCATGTATCAATAATTCCCGTCTGCGCTGCTCGACCATTGCATCGTTAGCGCCGGGGTTTGAGGAGCGCTTGAGTTGGGATGCTGGCGGAACGTAGGTCTCCTTCAAGCTGTTAGTCTGTACTGCCTCATCATGGCCTGAACTGTCGCAACTAGCGGCCTCGGCAAAATCACCATTCCCACGATTAACTTCACATGCGGCGTCCACGTCAAAGAAATATGGTTCCTAGGCGATTCCTCAGCATCTGGTTCCTGACGTCCCTTGAACTGTTGTTGAAATGTTTCCATGTGTTGGCAACCAAAGCACCAATGCATTGCAAGTCGTCAAGAGTAGCACGAACCAGACGCAATTCCATACCGCGCACTCTTTTCTCACTATCTACAAATGTTGCACAGCATTGTTAGGAGCGGACTGCCCTTGACATGTCATGTGGGAGCCAGTGAAATCCAATCGGCGGAACATCTCATGAACATGATGCATGGCCAAACTGTGAGGTCCCAGCGTCGCTGCATGCCGCCTGCGGTCGCACGCTGGCCACTGGGACTCTTTCCCAGAAGCGTCCAGACCAGGCGGGGTGAAACAGCGGCAATCTATATTCGCCATTGGGCTGATTAGCTGAAAGCTTCGAGCGCAATGCTACCCAATAAGCCATGCAACTCGCACCAAAACTTGAACCAACATGGATACGGACCAATAAAAACAAGTCCCACGATCCCCGACGCGCAGACATGTTGGGCCAGAGGGGAGTGTCAAAGGTCCCAGGGTCGAAGCTGTTTTGAAGCCTGCCCATATGCAGAATCGCCGAATGATCTGAGCATTCAAATCAGGCGGTGCCCCCTGGCGCTGCCCCCTTCTAAGGAAGCAAACACTTCCCCCGCGCATCCTTGAGCGGGGGGCGTCGGTGAGCTGCCGCGCCTGAAGCGGCGCTGGAAATTGATGCGGAGACACGCAGAGCAGCGCCAGTAAGACTCGCTGCAGATCCATTCGCGCTGAGATGGCGCACTCGCCAGAACTGGCCTCGGGGCGGCCTCTGGACAGACTGAAGCGCGCCCCGAGAGGTCCAGGGGGGGCCGCGGGGAAAAGGCGCGGGCTGGCGGCCTGCGCACAGCTTTGGATTTGTCAAACCGTTCGGGTGTCATATCTAAATATTCCTCCGCGGGAGCAGCGCGGGACTGGGGCCCCAGCTTGGCTGCGGCGCCTGCGTCGTCGCCCCTTGCCCCCCCCCGTCGCTGCTGCTTGGTCGGCGACGGGTCAACGGGCGCAGGGGCCATGACTTCACTGAGCGCGCAGATGCGTCGCTGCGGCAGCAAGCCGCGGGGCCCCCGACTGCATCTTCTCGTAAGAAACGCCTGGACAGGCAGGCAATGGAACTCGGGGCAACATTGAAGCGATCCGAGAAACCGCGGGTGGGCCTCGCGGCGTTCCAGGCCGCCATGGCCATAGTCCCGGCGTCGCCTGTCCGGGGGGGGATGGGGCCCGGGGCCCGAGACAGCGCTTCAGACCGACACGGGCGCCTGAGCAGCTGGGCCAAGAGTACAGAACCCAACCGCGCACGACGGAGCTCGCAAACTATACGCCTAGAGCACGACACGCCCATGAAAACGTCGACCAGGATCTGGCCGCCTGAAAGTCATCGATGACCTCGGCTCTCGCGCCATCCGACCCGACCAAGGAAACCGAAGAGCGCTCCCAGGAACGATGCCATGCGGTATCATGGCTGAAGCGGCTGGGATCGCAATGACCGCAGGGCAGGGCGTAGCGCGGCTGGACCGCCCGATCCTTGCACCAGAGAGCTCCGCACGCGAGAGGCGGGATGCGACGCGGCCATCCTCGTAGCTCGCAAGCTTGGAGGAACGATCTGAGACGGCGTGACATCGCGGCAGGGGCGCCCCGGGAAGTTCATGTGTTTGGCTGCATGTCTCTCCATCTGGCGAAGAACCCCTGCACCCTGCATGGCGTAATTTCTTGATCAGGCAAGGGGAAGCAGGCGCAATGTGGATCTCTTCGCGGGAATCATTGCTCGAGGCCCCAAAGCTGAACATGTCCCAACCGATCCTGGGCAACGAGATCCTCGGCGCTGACGTGGGGCCCCGCGGCGTTTCTCAGGGCTGCTGATCCCCTGGGGCGCTGAGCGCTGATTCACAAGCCTGTCAACGCGTCGAAAGGTGCTGTCTCGTCTGAATGCCTCTTCCGTGCTGCCAGAGCCCCCGTTCGAACGCCCGGCAATCGGCGAGGCGGCGCCCAGACGAGACGGGCCGGGCGCCAGGATGAGAGAGGCAGCATGCGAACGCAAGCTCACAAGGGCGGAGAACGGCGCCAAGGCTGCGACGTACGCGCGCAAATTCATTGCCGGAAACGACGCGCGCATCAGCTTCGCGCCACGAACCCGCGCTGGGCCGCCAATGAAAACCTTCTCGGCGCGTCTCCCCACGGCCGTTGTGCATCTCCTGAAACGCGTGGCCCTCTTGAGAAACTCCCGCATCCTCTTGTTGAATGCCCTTCCCCGACCTCCGAGGCGGCGACTGGCACCCGCCGCGTCGACCCACGCGTTGCGAGCGGACAGCTCGAGCTGCGCGCCGCCATGATAGAGCAGCGCGGATCGACTCGCCGGCCTCGGCCGAAAAGCAGGCGGCAGGAGAGGCGCCCTGCGCGGCGATGCTCTTCATGTCTCCGGCAGGGCCAAACTTAACAGCGGCGGAACCCTCGATGATGTCCCGCTGAGGACTCTCGGGGGGTCAGTGGAGGAGAGACCGCAGTCGCCCGCGTCAACGTCGTGGGAAGCGGGGGCGCGGGGCGCATCTACGGCCGGGACGACGCGCACGCATCTATGCAACGTGGCTCTGCGTTGGATAGCCCCGAACATTGCGAAATGCGGACCGTGGACCATGCCTCCTGTCATTTGGAGGCCAGGGCCTGCGTGGGCCTCTCAGCTCAGCCGATAAATCTGAACAGGGGACCCCCATGGAGTCGCACCCGTGGTCGAGATCTTCCCTCGTTCGCAGGGCGGCGCCCCGTCGAACTGCTGGAGGCCCCGCAAGACCTTGCCAGCGATTGTGTCGCGATGCTGCTTGACTCCCAGCGGGCGCGGTGGCTAGCTGCTGCCGAGCAGCTTCTTCGCGGAGCTGGCGCCCAATTGCATATGCTGCTCCAGCTAATGGGCAGGCGACATGCGGTCTAGACTGCGATTGTTCCCACCGCTCTGCATGCCATCTCCCCATCGCCCCCCCGCAACCGGCATGCCGAGCAGCAAAAATCACATCGGGTGCCATCCCCCTTGCGGCTTCGCCAGCAAGGGGGCGAGAATCGCTCTGATCTGGTTGCAGATGAGGGGGGGGGGGGGGGCAATCTTCGGGATCGAAGCCGCGGCCGTGAAAGCCGGCATGGGGGGGGGGCCAGAAATATCAACGACGCGACGCGCGTGAAACCCCTCGATGGACGCGGCTGACCTCCTGTCCCACGCTGAAGAGACTTCGCGAATGAGTCCGGGGGGGAGAGACCTCTTGCGGCCGACGGCGCCCCTGGGCCTCGACCGGCCCACGGGCGCCCCTGTTCCCCTAGCTCCCCGAGACAACGGCCTTCGCTGCCCATGGGGGGATTTGAGGTCAGCGAACGCCGCTTCACCAGCAGATTGCATCGCAGTGGGTGCCCGAATGGAAGGCAAGCGCGCCCGCGCACGGGGCCTGCCAGCTCGGTCCTTGATGCCGCCGAGCAGCCGGGCCGTCCAAGACTCCAAGACGCGCGGGAATCAGCGCGGGCTACGCTCTCACCGCTAATCAAAGTTCCCGAGATATCGTCCATGATCTTAAAGCCGAGCTCGAGGTCCAGGATTCGCAGATGGCGGGCCCAACGCAGGCCTCCTCTCCGCGTAGCATGCGGCGCGCGCGAATATAAAAGATGACATAGCTCCCCGACGCGGTTCTGGATGCAGGACATCTCCGAAGCGAGGCGGGAGCGAACGCCGCAGGCATGGAAGAGACTGGCAGACTTCGCCAACTCAGCGAGCCTGCGGAACGCGCCCTCTTACCTTGCACACTGAATAAGGAGCAGGCTGCCTGGCGCCCCTGCGCATATCGGGCGCCAGGGCCAACTTCCACGTCAAACCCGGCAGACGACCTGTCAGTCCCGCGAGAGGAAAGGGCGCCCGATGGTCGTCGCGCAACTCAATCACGCAAAGATGAGCCCACGGACGAAACTCCAGAGTGAGACGGGTGCCCATGGGCCACCTTCCTAGGGGCATGTCGATGAATGAGAGAGACCCCGACACTGGCGCTGCCCCGCGCCTCACCCCGATCGGGGCCCTTGGGCCGCGGAGCGATGCGGAGGTCAACTAGCAGCGGCGGCGGTTTGGCAAACGCAAGAATTTTCAAATTAACCAGGAAGGAACGATATATGAACAGGCTTGCCCGGTGCCACGGGGCTCAAGAATGCAGCCCTGGTCTGCTGGATGAACTTGCCCAGAAAACTGGGAACCACAGAAAGAGTCGACCTACCCGACCCCCTACACGACAATTGACGTGAACGCGTCCATCACTTCAGGATAAATGATGGCGCTACCGAAGGGGGTCGCAAAACCGGATGCGCGGGGCGCGTCCAGCTCCAAACTGAAACCGAGGCCTATGATGCGGGGGCGACCCGTGCCTTGCACAAGCCCCCCTCCCCACACACACACCTTCGCCAACGCATGAAGGTTCTGAGAGGGCCCCTCCCCGCTGTGAGGATGCATGCGCGCGCAGAGAACATGTTCTCCAATATCTGCATCCCGAACGAGTGAGATCCCGAGCGGGTGTGCCGACTCCTCAGAAGTGCCCAAGCCAACGCCCGCAGAGGCCAATATAACCTGCTCTTCCATCCATAGGACATCGCCCACTTGGGAGCCTCATCGGTCACGTCCCGATTACCGAGATGATGTCCTCGAGCCAACTCTACGTGCGTTGATGTTCTCTCAACAGCCACAGTGTGGCAACGCCCCAAAAGGTCATTTGCAATCTCAGGCCCAGGCCGAAACAGAACCATGAGAAAACCTCCACTCTGCTGGGTGCCAAGCTCGGGCGGCGGCAGAAAGCAAGACCGCGATAGCGTGAGGCGGGGGGGGGGGGGAGGGGGGGGGGCTGCCTGCTTAGGCTGGGCCCCCGCCTTGGCGCCAAGGGCATCGCGAACACAGGCGCGCCTTTCTGCTCGATCATCCGCGGGAGATGGCTGCTGAGTGCCCAACCCACTGCTGCCCCTTGCTGTAAAAGGCGAAGCTGTTGCAGGCGTGGCGTGGTAGCACAGTCGGCGGAATTGGACTCGTCATCCTTCAGAGTAGCACCTGGATCTGGCTCTGCCCCTCTGGACTTGGCGGGCTTGCGCCCCGTAGAAGAGGACACGCGTGACTTGTTCATGATGGGTTGCCTTGGACTCCATGATTACCCACTGCGCTGCCGAAGAGGTCCTTCGCGAAGGACGCGATGTCTGCCTCCAGCTCGATGTTGCGGGAGGCGACCTGCTGCTTGTCCTAGGAAGTGAGTTCGCACCCACCCGCGGCGAGGCTATCAAACAGGTCACTGGCGTGACGCAAATTCATGGTTTGCAGAACCGTCCAGGACATGAACGAGAAACGACCACATTCTTGTCAGGCTCCTGATTCTCGGGCTTGGCGACAGACGGATGTAGCTGAACAACCTGGTGTCGGTGTCCACTGTATGCTTGTCCAGCTCATCAGACAACTCCTGGACCTGCGTGACGCACTCCTCCAGCAGCTGAGCCTGCGTCAGGCTAAAATCGCCAGCGACGATCTTGCGGTACGCGGCGTTGATCTGTTGATGAAGAGGGCGTGGTGTTGGTTTTGCTTCGGTTCATTGCTTGCGCTAATGCGCAATCAGGCCCGTAAGCACGAGAGCGCGACTTCCCATCATCTCCCCAAGCTTGACGAGGTACTCGGGTGCTCCAAACGACACTTTACCCATCTCAAGCAAACGGGCATATATGAGGTAAATGGCCCGCTTGTGCCGTGTGCCGTTCTGAAGTGTGCACAAGCACGCTGACGTGACCGCTCTTGCCTGCTCCTCAGCCAAGACGGTTCGAGCAAAACTGGCTTTAACCAACATGGATTAAGCCAAAACGGCGTGAGCCGACAAGGCTACGGAGGGGGGAAGATGAGTAGGCAAACGCAGAGGCGAAGGAAGAAGAGACGGAGGAGGAGACGGAGGAGGAGGACGAGGAGGAGGAGGAGGCGGCCACGGAGGAGGGCGCGGAGGGGGAGAAGGAGGGACCAATGCAAAGCCAAGATGCATCGACGATGTTGGAATATTTTGTTGCTTGGAAGTGCCCCGTTAGGAGACAGCCATTTAAGGATCCTGAAGAATGCCACAACAACATTCCCAGGACTCCAACTCCACGAATCGATCTGACTGTTGCGTGTGGGCGTTCTTGAACCGTGCCAGGACACCGTCCTTGGGACTTCAACGCCGCGAATCTAAATACCTGCTGCGCCCTGACAGCCCCAAATCGTTCCACTACGAATGTTTGCGACGTTGGCCATGGGAATCCGGACAACTCTTGCAACTGTTACCAATGAGCGCGCGCAGCGCTACGGCGAGACAACCTGTGGAAAAGAAGGCGCCCTCCATCCGCGGAGCCCTTGCAGTTGTTGAAGACAGATGTGCGCGGCGCGAGAGCGAGCGCCACAATCAAAGAACCACCCGCCCTCAATGTGTGAAACTGTTGCCAAGTGTTGGAGGCTTGGAAATTGACACCAGCACCAACACAGGGCGTTGCCTCCACCAGGGGAAGATGATCCTAGATTTCGGTGTTGGTGGTAATCTTCCGGCCGCCTAGGAAGCCAGAGTATCACCACCATCACCGAGATCGGGGTCGTCTTCCCTCGGTGGAGGCACACCGCGGACCTTGGTGTTGGTGTCAACCTCTAGGCTTGCGACAGTGTTGGAGCATCAGGATCATAAATGGTAAGGGCGCCTCAGGCGAAACGCCCAGCCAGCCCAGCCGACTGGCCTCGAGGTGCGACGGGGAGTTCATTCATACGGAAAGGAGCGGAGAAGATCGGGGCAGAGAGGGGGCAGCAGGAGGAGAAGAGGGATGAGAGGACCCCGCCCCGCGGGAGGGCGCCAACGTTTGCTGGCACAGGTTGACCACCCGGTACTTCACCGCGTCTGCTGCGCCCCCCGACAGGTCGGCGCGGGACCTCCGGCGGGGCGGCAAGGGCCTTCGCTCGATCCCCCTGTGCTTGCTGGCCCCAGCGCCAGAGGATGGAAGCCCAGGGCGAGGAGGAGAATGCCGAGGAGGAGGCTTAGGAGGGGGCCGAAGAGGACAAAGAGGAGGAGAGAGCGGGAAAAGGGAGGAGGGCGAGGAAGAGGCGGATAACGATGAAGCTGACGCGCCATCGTAGAAGGCGGGCTAGCGAAGCGATTTCCCTGTATCTCTCTCTCTCTCTCTCTCTCGCTGCGCTTATTTACGGGGTCCTTGAAGCATGAGGCGGAAGCGGACGAGGAGGCGAGGGATATGCGGGAGAGAGGAGAAGGAATGAAATTTCGCTTGCCTGATCCTCTCAGCCGTGAGCACGACGGCAGAGACGACGAAAACGAGCTTGCCGCCTGCCCCCAGGCCTGTCCCGGGCGACAGGGCGGAGACTCCTGAAGCGCGCGCGGCCGAAACATCGACCACCGCGTGACTCACGGGAGACTAACGGCGCATGAAACCAGACAAAAAAAAACACGGCGCCGAAGACGAGGACGGGCAGGCCGCTCAGTCGGTCGGGCGGGACATGAAACTCGACCCCCGCTCGTTGATAGGACAGTGCCGGGCCCGGGAAGGGAACGGCGACGGAGGCGGCGGCGGCGAGGGCGACAGAGAGGACGACGAGGAGGGGCGACGGCGACGGCGAGGACGACGAGGAGGGGCGACCGCACGGCGGCGGCGGCGGCGAGGGGCGACAGAGACGCCGAGTCGAGCGGGCGGAGTGGGCGGTAAGTCGACGGACAGGCAATCGGCGCCTCGGTCGCTGGGCCGAGGCGGTGCAGAGAAGGCGACGGCGACGGGCGGGATCTTCCCGGGGGCGGGCGGGCGGGGCCTTGTCCAACCAAACCGTCACTCGTTGATGGGACAAGGTCGGGAAGGAGCAAGAAACGCCATCGTCAACGACATCGCCGACGACGTCGACGACGGCGATCGTCCTCCTCCTCCTCCTCCTCCTCCTCCTCCTCCTCGTTTGCAGGCGGAGCGGGGGCGGGGCAGGTCGAACCCGCTACCCCTCACCTCACGCTTTCGAGGGGGGGACGGGTCCGAAACCGACACCCGACCCCCCTCCCCAACCCTCGCTTCGTGGACCAGAAAACAAACGAAACCACCCCATCTTCAGCCCAACGGGCCTTCGCCTATACCATGCATGGCGGCGTGGCTTTTGGGCGTGGTATACGGTGCGACGCCCAATGGGCCGTAACGCCACACGGACGGCCGTAGGTGGGGTGGCCCCGCTTGTTTTCGGGTCGACTTGAGCTGAGGTAAGGCGAAGCCAGGACGAGGATAACATCGGGTGAGAATAAACCGAGAATCTCTGAGCCCTGGCGGCTCTGGAAGACGTTTCGGGCGCCGCGGCCTGCTCAGAGCGTTCCGGAACGCTCTGAGAGCATTCCAGAACGGAGGGTGGAAGGCGGAGGAGGAGCAGGGGTGCTCCTGAGCAGCCTTCCCCCCTCCACCTGCCCCCCTCTGCGCGTGCCCGGGCAAAGCGTCCACCCCAATTCGTTCGGGGGCGACGCTGGGGGCGAATAGCCCAGGAAAGAGCTGCACAGTGGGGGCCTATGCCAAGAAACACCCTGCTTGCCTCCAGGGTGCCCTGGGTCTTTTGATGTTCCATGGTTTTGCGATGCAGGGCGTGAGGCTCCCACACCCCAAATCGATGGACGTCATGGGGTGTAAGGGTTGGGTATCTTGCGGAAGGTTTCTTGTGGTCGGGCCCCTTCTGTACATGCCGGGCGTTGGCAGAACTGGGTTTAATGGGACCTGGTTTCGTGACGTGTACTGGGGGACTCCCCCCCGCCCCGTTCCACTTACCGGAACCGCCGTCACCCGAAAACAACACGAGCTGCGGCAGACCTGGTTTAGTGACTCTGGCCAATTTAGAGGCTCGGGGGCTCTACTACTGACCGGGTCCCCTTACCTGGGGTTCTGGCTATACCCGAACATGTATCGAGAGACGCCGATGGCCCCTGTCTTCAGTGAGGCTCCAGGGCGAATGCGTGCAATGCCCGCCCCTGAGCTGTTCGCCCCTATCTCAAGCTGCATTATCGGGAGACCTTGTCTGTCCCGTCGCGGCCCTATCCGCGTGGAATCCGTGTCGAACCCATGTCGTCCTCGTCGGATCCGTGTCGGATCCGTGTGGATCGTATCCGCGTCGAGTCCGCGCCACATCTGCGTCGAGTGCAGCGTAACGTGGCCCTGCGGCAACGCGACGCGCTGCCCGAAGCCCCGCGAGGAGGGGGGGCGTCCTCCTCCTCCTCCTCCTCCTCCTCCTCCCTCCTCCTCCCCCTCCCCCCCCCCTCCTCCTCCTCCTCCCTCCCTCCCTCCTCCCTCCCTCCCTCCTCCTGCCTCCTCCTCCTCCTCCTCCTCCTCCTCCTCCTCCTCCTCCTCCTCCTCCTCCTCCTCCTCCTCCTCCTCCTCCTCCTCCTCCTCCTTCCTCCTCCTCCTCCCTCCTCCCTCCCTCCCTCCCTCCCTCCCTCCCTCCCTCCCTCCCATCCCTCCTCTTCCCTTCTCCTCCTCCTCCTCCTCCTCCCCCTTCTCCTCCTCCCCTCCTCACCTCCTCCTCCTCCCTACCTCCCTCCTCCTCCTCCGTCCTCCTCCTCCTCCTCCTCCTCCTCCTCCTCCTCCTCCTCCTCCTCCTCCTCCTCCTCCCTCCGACAAAGGTGCAACGTGGCCCATCGTCGCCTCCGACTCGGAGCCACCCCCGAAAGCAGCGCCCTCTGGCGAGGGCGGAGCCGGCCCGCCGGTCTCCGGGGCCCAGGCTGCGCGGTGCGGACGGACGCCGCCAGGGAGTCCACGGACTTCGTCGGGACCATGGGCCGTGCCGGCGCCGCCTCGCTGGGGCTCCAGGGGATCCTTCGGAGCCCCCATCTCCCCTCCTCGTCGTCACTCCTCCCTCCCCCCTCGTCCCCTTCCCTCCTCACCCCCCCCCTCCTCCCCGCTCCTCCCTCCACCTCCTGCTGCCCCCTGCTCCCCCCTGCTCCTCCCCGTCCCTCCTCCCCCCTGCTCCTGCGCATCCTCCTCCGCCCTCCTGGCCCCCCTCCACCTCCCCAGGAGGGGAGGGGGAGCAGGAGGACAGGAGCGGAGGGGAGGAGAGGAGGAGGGGAGGGAAAAGGGGGAGAGAAAAGGCGAGGGGAGGAGGAGGAGGAGGAGGAGGAGGAGGAGGAGGAGGAGGCCGAAGAGGAGGAGGAGGAGGAGGAGGAGGAGGAGGAGGACGAAGAGGAGGAGGAGGAGGAGGAGGAGGAAGCGAGCGAGCCAGCGGAAGCGCGTGTCAATGACTAGCGCAGCGCTAATGACAGAGAGACGGCAGAGCAATAAGCTGAGAAGCCTACCCCTCCGCTGGGAAAGCAGGGCCAGGAAGGCGCTGCGGGCAGCAAGAGAGCGCCCAAGCCGCGGCGGCAAGCCACCACGGCAGCTACATTACAGCAGAAGCTAGGGAGAGCACCGCTCCCTAGACGCAGTCAGTCAGATCCCTCCCCCGAGACGTCCTCCGCCCGAGCCCTGAGAGGGGGCAGTGAGAGGGAGGGGGGGAGGGGAGAGAGAAGATAAGAGGAGGACTGGGAAGGAAGGGGGAGGGGGGAGGGGAAAGGGAAAAGAGTGAGAGAAGAGCGGGGGAGGAGGAGAAGGAGCGAGAGAACGTGTTGTTTGCCACTGCGCTGGTCTGCTGCGATCTGGGTTCGAAGTCCTCTGGACCGCTGGGAATGGCCAGCTACCCGACGAGCACGGCACTGACATAAACGCTGGCAGACCCACATACACCAGCGCGCAGACGTGGAAGCACACACCCCGCAGCACACGAGAGAAGACGATCGCAGGAGACTGGAGCCACGAGCGGCGGTTAGCCAAACAGGTTTGAGTCAAACAAGCGGATCACGTGTTGGCCTCGGCGTCCAGCGAAACGGACGTTAGCTTGGGGTGCCTGCCTGCGGTGATCGGACCCCCAAAACAGCTAGCGCTCCGAGGGTTGGCAGGCATCCAACTACACTGCAGAAACGGCGATAGAAGAGCGGGCGAGGAAGGAGGGTGCGAGCAGACCGGTAGAGGAGGAGGGTGCGGAGGAAGGCCTCGATCTTCACATGAACTTGCCCTCGGGTTCGAGGTTCGTGGAGGGGGAGTAAGAAGGATGGGATGGGATACGTGGGAGAAAAGGACGTTTGGACGCAGGAGTGATGGAGAAGCGGTGGATGGCGAAATGGGAAAAATGGCGAAGATGACAAAGGACTGGAGGGGGAGAAGGACGAAGAGGAAGGCGATGAAGAGGGAGAGGAAAAGGAGAGGGAGGAGACGAGGATGTGCGGGGAAGAGGAGGAACAGGGATGCGTGAGGAATGAGGGGAAGGAAAAGGAGTGGAAGAGGATGATGAGGAGTCTCGAGGAGGAAAGGAAGTCGGAGGATGGAGGAGCAAAACCGATCCTTGACGGGCGAACGAAACGCGACGACGAGTTCAAACTGAACTCCCCCGCCGCCCCTTCCCACATCTCTTGTCCCAACCCGCCTCTGTTCGCCTTACCCAAGGGCTCCCAACTTCGCGCTTCGCGCTCCGCGAAGCGCGAATAACTTCGCGCTCTCGCGCCGCCCCCCAAAAGGGAGAAAAGGAGGACGAGGAGGAGGGGGAGAAGGAACGAGGACCGCGAAGCGCGAATAACTTCGCGCCCTCGAGGGCGCCCTTGCTTACCATGCTCATCTTTGGACGCCTGGAGTGCGGACGGAAGACATGGGCAAAACGCCAAACACCTCACGTCGGCATCACCAGGAGCTCATCGTGTACGAGATGTGTGTTGTCTCCATCGTACTTCAGAACCAATCCTCCCAAACATCATTTCGAGCACCCGGAACAGTGTCGGAACGGCGTCGAACGAGCGTCTCCCGGGGCCCGACACGTGACAACCCTCAAATGTCGGTACGTTCCTGGTGCCCGAAGTTCTTTCTGGTGATCAAGGCTAAAGTAGGTTGGAACATCCGAATCCGAGGTCTGCAGGAGGCGTGGTTGGTCTTCCTCCCCTCCTCTCTCCGCCCCGACGGGTCCCCCTCCCCCTGGGCCTCGCCGCCTGCCCTCCCGCTGCACCGCCCCGACGCCCGTGCGCGAGGCAGAAGCCCACGCGGGGCAGCGCCAGGAACACGTACACGACTGCCTACCCGGCCACCCCAACCCGACCCGAAGACCCGAATTTCGGGTTGGGGGGGGGTGCGGATTCCACGTGTGTTTTTGTCAATGTTCCCCGACGCCCCCCCCCCCCCCCCCCCACTTGAAATGGAGGGCACATCGGGGCCTTCGGGTTGGCTTGGTGCGGTTTGGTGGGCGGTGACACGCGGGGCAGCACCAGGAACACACACTGGGAGGCCGCAACCCCCCCGCCTCCGCCACCCTCCGCTCCCCTCCGCCGGCCCCGCGGCAGGTCGGGAGCGCGCTGACGCGGCCCCGGCTTCGGGATGCGTGGGTCTGGCGCGCGGGCGCCAGATCCACGGGTCGGGGAACGCCCCCCCCCCCCTCCCCCCCATTCGGTGGCAACTCACGAGAGCCTCCCATACCATCTTGTCGGCCTCTGCGCTAATCGACGCTAGATCGACGCTCATCGGCGCTAAATCGACGCTCAATCGACGCTCGCCGAAGCTAAGTCGGCGCTACCTCATCGACACCAGACGCTCATCGGCACTAATCGACTGTAAAGACGGAAACAAGAGGGTAGACCAGGCTCCCATGATTTGCTACCGAACCCCCCCATCCGAAAAACGAGACCAGCGCCACCTGGTCTGGAAACGGAACGCGACGGTTCTGCGCGAACCCGAGGCCCGTCTCTAGAGTGCAGAACATCCACCCCGATAAGAACCACACCGACACGCGAAGCCGTTTACTGAACGCCCCCACCGAAGGAATCCAGCAGGACAGGGCTGTGTAGTAAACGCCGAAGGCCGTGTAGTAAACGCCAGCTGTCCGGCCCGGGTGGTTTTTCCTCCCTCGAGTCGCTATCGTGGAACACTGGTCGCAGGGATGCGCGAGAGGAGGATGCGCGGGCCTCGGAGGGCCAAGGCCCGACGCCCCTCGGGCGGGGCGCGGCCGCAGCGAGAGGGGCCGAGGACGGGCCAGAGGGAGGGGATGCAAGGGTCGTGGTGCTCCCATCGCACTTCAGGACCACATCCCAGAAATAGTTTCGAGCACCCGGACAAGTGCCGAGAGAGTGTCGGAACAGTGTCGAGACGGTGTCGGACGGGCGTCTCCCAGGGCCCGACGCGTGAAAGCCCTCGAGTCTCGTTTTTTTTGTTTCTGGTGCTCGAAGATCTCCCTGGCGATCAAGGCGGAAGTAGGTTGGAACATCCTGATGCAAAGAGGGAGCCCTGGGAAGTCGCACCTACTCTGTTGCTTGCGCGTCGCAGCGCGGCATGAGGCGAGCCGCACGCGCGCGCTCGAGGCAGCCCCCGGCAAGCGGCACACTCATTCTCCGGCGGCGGCACGAGAGTCAGGTCGGGCGCGTCCCCCCTACGGGCCGATGTTGGAAGACACATAACACATGCTCCAAACATGCGCATTACCAAACAGAAACTCGACCAATTGTCCCCAGACTTCTTTGCTTGTGTTTGGACGCCCGAAATGGGCATGGAAATAATGGGTACAATGCCCAACAACAAATGTTGTCCCAAACCAACAGCGGCCGCTGTTGGGCAGGAAGCCGCCTGCCTCAAATGGACACAGGCCGCGGCGGCGCGGACAGCGAGTCCTGTTCAAAAGGCACAGGAACTGCTGCTGGGCATTGTGCCCACTCTTTCCGTGTCCATTTCGTTCGTGCAGATTGTGACTGTTTCTGAGCACTTCTCCCGTAGAGGGACAGGCCCGACTTCGCGCGAGGAGGAGAGGGAGGCGGAAGGGCGGTCCGGCTGGGCGGCCTGCCCCCCGGGGGGCGCGGGGCCGCCCGCGGGGGGGGGGAGCGGGGCGGGGCGGGGCGCGCCGCGGCCTCCTGCGGTGGGTCCTCCTCGGGCCCGGAGAGGCTGTCCACGAAGAGCGGCAGTATCCAGCCCGCGGTGCGCCCTGCGGGCCGCCGGCGGCGGGGGCGGGGGCGGGGAGCACGCCAGGGGGGGGGGGGGGGTGGGGGGCGGGGCGGGAGTGCGCGGGGAGGGGGGGGGGGGAAGGGGGGAGGGAGGAGGAGGAGGTTCACTGCCCATAGAGGGAAAGAGGTCCAGGGGTGAGAGAGGAAAAACGGGGTGGGTCCGCCTATCCAAGGAGGCTTTTGTCAGGCCCCCCCAGAGGTTCCATCCCTCTGGCAGGGCCCCCGACAAGGCGACCCCACCCCCACACAGCGCTAGCCGAACTCTCCAGCTTCGGCTTCGCACTCTTCCCGGGATTTGCGAGCCTGGGCCTCAGCGCGGGCCTGGACAGCCCACAACCCGAGCTCCTCAGCTTCGGCCCGAGTCTCGAACCCGAACGCCTTCAAACAGGCTTCCATGCCGAGCCGAGGAGCGGCCCTTTGCTGCGAGAACGCAGGGAGTCTGCTGGGGGGCCGACCGGCCCCTTCCGCGTCAGCTCCAAAATGATCTCGCCAGCGTTCCCGAGTGGCTGTGGAAAGGACCTGGGGCTCGTCCAGAGCCAGTCCCTCTTCCGTGGGGCGCATGCGCCCACGCAGCCGCTTCCGGACGGTGTACGCCGAGCCGCCAGTGACCCGCCGAGGGCCAAGGCAGGGACTGCAAAGGCCCCGTTGTTTACGATGCACAGCGAACTTGTAGCACGTCGTGCAAAAACGGATCGGCTCCTGCCCAGCGACACCTGCTTCTAGAACCGAGTGTTGGTTGACCAGCCATGGGCGCCTAGGCCCGAGACCGTAACCTTCATCATCCGCGTCTTCCACGCCACCGTTCTCCCTCTCAGCCTCCACCACCACCACCCTGGCAGCAGCAGCAGCAGCAGCAGCAGGGAGCGGGTCAGCAGGAGGAGAGGGAAGAGGACCAGGGGCATGGCGTGGGGCCTCGGGAGCGGCAGGCAGGTCGACCAATAATCCTGGAGGAACATCAGCCGCGCCAATATCAATTAAACGAATCGCATCGAACCCTTGATGGTCTACGATGTTCTCTTTGACACACCGAGTGGCAAGCCTGGCCGTGGCCTTGCACGCTTGCGACGCTAGGTCCAAACAGCCCTCGAGAAACAACACGTCGCTCTCAGACGAAGCCCCGAAACTAGCGCCGAACTTTGCGTATTCATCTGCCGAGGAGGAGGAGGAGGAGGAGGAGGAGGAGGAGGAGGAGGAGGAGGAGGAGGAGGAGGGGGAGGGGGAGGAGGGAGGAGGAGGAGGAGGAGGGGGAGGAGGAGGAGGAGGGAGGAGGAGGGGGAGGAGGGAGGAGCAGAGGAAGGAGAGGTGGAGGAGGAGGAGGGGGAGGAGGGAGGATGGGGAGAGGACGAGGGCGAGGGAAGAAGGGCCATGGGGGAGGGCGGGGGAAGGGCCAGGCAAGCGGGGGGAAGGCAAGCCAGGTGCGCAAGCGTCGTATCTGACGTCGTAACCCCCCACCCTCCCGAGCGGGGCAATGACCCTGGGAGAGAGTACGCGGTGCATGGCAAAGCACGCGAGCGTGGCATGGCGTGGCATGGCATCGCGTCGAGAACGCGACTCATCCCGGATCCAAGAAATCGGCGCGGAGCGTCAACGGTTTATGTTATGGCGTTTTTCTTCTTCGAGCGAGGGCTCTCCAGGACGAGCAACGGCATCGGCACCCCCCCTTCTTCCACTCAGGAAGAGCCGCCGGACCAGACTTGGCCTTCACGTGAGGGCTCAGGGGGGTCCCGCGGCCGCTCGCGACCAGACCCCCCCCCCCCGGGAACGCTCTCGGCGAGGCGCAGCCGCCAGAAGGCACCGCGAGGCTGGAAAGCCGCGGAGGACCGCCGCAAACGACCGAAAACCCCGAGCCTGGCGGGAGCCGCCGCGGGCAGGAGTCGACTCGGCGGACAACGGCAGGCTGGTGGGGCCTCCACTGCGAAATCGAATCCAAATCGGAATCCGACAAGATCGACTCCAAATCGAATCCGAATCGAGTCCAAATCAGAATCCAATCGAAATCGACTCCACATCGGAATCGGAACCCGTCGAGGTCGAATCACACCGGGGGGATCGGAACGAGCCCCGCGCGGGCGCACCGCCGTGGGCGTGAAGTTCAGCAGGACGGGCTCGTGCCCGACCACCGACACGCGCGTGGCCGTCTCGTCGTCGGCCTTGACCGTCCGCTCGATCGTGAGCCTGAGGTCGGGGACGGGCCCCGGCCCCCAGGGGCCGAGATGGGGGAGCGAGGGAATGATGGCGATGGTGATGGTGATGATGATGATGATGATGATGATGATGATGATGTTGGTGGTGGTGATGATGATGGAGATTATGATGATGCTGATGCTGATGCTGATGATGATGATGATGATGATGATGATGCTGGAAATGATGGAGATGATGGCAAGGTTATGATGATGCTGTTGTTGATGATGATGCTGATGATAATGATGATGATACTAAGGGTGATGGTGATGCGGATGACGATGCTAAATGATGGTGATGGTGATGGCGATGGTGGTGTGATGATGATGATGATGCTGATGATGATGATGCTAATGCTAATGATTATGTTGATGATGATGCTGATGATGATGGTGATGATGATGGGGATGATGATGCTGCTGATGTGTCTGCTGCTGATGCTGCTTCTGATGCTGCAGGTGATGGTGATGATGATTTTGATGATGGTGGTGATGGCGATGTTGAGGATATTGAGGATGAGAATAATGATGAGAGTGGCAATGGTGATGGCAATGACACGCGGCTGCGTGGGATCCTGACTGGAGCAGAGGCACAGGAGATTGTCTTCGAAGGCTACAGCCGGACCTAGGCAAGAGGAACACCCTTCGAGAACGCGAGACCCTGCGCCGGCCAACATGCACGCAAAACCGCAAGAGTGCTCCAGGACACCCTCCCCCCAGGGGGCACGAGAGCAGCCACCAAGCACGCAGATCACGTGCACGACGACGACGAGGACGATGAGGACGAGGAGGACGACGAGGAGGTTCAGGACGACGAGGACAACGACGACGAGGACGAGGAGGACGACGAGGTTCGGGACGACGAGGGCGACGAAGACGAGGAGGACGACGAGGACGACGAGGAAGGGGAGGACGAGGACGAGGAGGAGGAGGCCCGACCGCCCCGTGCACGGTGGCTTTCGGGCCATCGCTCGGCCCTCGGGCAGCCGCTCGGGACGCTTCCCGGCGCCCCCGACGAACGCCCTCGGCGAGGCACGGCTGCCTGGAGCGCGCCTCGAGGCCTACGAAAGCCGCCGAGAGCCGAAGGAAGCGCCCGAACACCTCGAGCGCCCTCCCCGAACAGCCTCGATCTTAGAGGCCAGTGGTCGGAGGCCAGTGGTTCACGACCTTCGAGCGCTCCAGGAGGCGGCGGCGGGCGGCGGCGGCAGAAAGCTGGCGGACGCGGCGCGCGCGGGCGCGGCCCAAGGTGCACGCGCTCCGTCAGCGGCTCCCAGGCCCCGTTGCGGGGGTTCAGGATGTGGTGGGCTTGGTTCCGACCGCCACCACCATTTCCTCCTCTTCCTCCTCCTCCTCTTCCTCCTCCTCCTTCACCCCTTATAAATATGTTCTCCCCGTCACACCCCGAAACAAGCTTTAGGGCGGGCCGGACGTTTCGCCTGAGACGTCCTCACCACTTATGACTCCGAAGCTCCAACAACGGCAACGGTCATACAGATGGGGGACGGGTGGCTTTCAAAATGTGGCTCTCGCCTTAGCGCCGCGCACATTAATTCTAAAAAGTTGCAAGAGCTTCGCGGATTGACGGCTGGTCGTTCCAGAATGTGGCTCTCGCCATAGCGCCGCGCACACTCGTTTCAAAACTTACAGCAGTTTCACTGATTCAAGGGGGGTCGTTTACAAAATGTGGCTCTCGCCTTAGCGCCACGCACATTCGGTTTAACCATTTGCAAGAATTCCACAGATTGAGGGCGGGTGGTTGTCAAAATGTGGCTCTCGCCCCAGCGCCGCGCACATTCGTTTTAAACATTATAAGAGCTTCACAGATCGAGGGCGCTTCCTTTTCAAAATGTGGCTCTCGCCTTAGCGCCGCGCACATTCGTTCTGAAAGCTACAAGACCGGCACTGTTTTAGGGCGGTTCTTTTTCAAGATGGCTCTCGCCTTAGCGCCGCGCACATTCGCCCTAAAAATTACCAGATCTTCACGGGTTGAGGGCCGTTCTTTTTCAAATTGTGGATCTCGTCTTAGCGCCGCCTACATTCCTTTTAAGAAATTACAAGAGCTTCACGGATTAAGGGCGCCTCCTGTTCGAAATTTGTCTCTCGCCTCAGCGCCGCGCACATTCGCTGTAAAAAGGAGCAAGGAGCATTACGGATTAATGGCGGTTCCTTTTCAAAATGTGGCTCTCGCCTTAGCGCCACGCACATTCGTTTTCAAAGTACAAGAGCTTCACTGATTGAGGGCGGTTCTTTTTCAAAATGTGGCTCTCGCCTGAGCGCCGCGCACATTCGTTTCAAAATCTTATAAGAGCTCCACGGGTTGAGGGCGGTTCCTTTTCAAAACGTGGCTCTCGCCTTCGAGCCGCGCGGATTCGTATCCAAAAACATTTACAGCAGGTTTACGGATTCCCAGGACCAGCGTACCAGAAATTGTGTTTTGCAAGGACTCAGGATTATGCGGGCGCAGCAGTCATGTTGATTCGAGGTGTTGAAGTACAACAGATGGCGTTCCAACACGATTCCAGATCGTCACGACGTAGCAGCCAGGTTGATCTGGGGCGTGGAAATCCCGAGAACAATGTGTTGGCATGCTTCAAAACTTTCAAACCGTTGTCTTGCAACGAGGCAGTTCCTGTAAGAAAGGGCTTACGCAGAGGGCTTACGAAAGGGATTACGAAGAGGGAGCTTGGAGGGAGGGATAATTCAAACATCGTTGAGGACTCTTGGGTTTACACTGGTCCTCCTCCTCCTCCTCCTCCTCCTCCTCCTCGTCCTCCTCCTCCTCCTCCTCCTCCTCCTCCAGGCGGCCTTGCCGCCCCATCTCGCGCCCCCCCTCCTCTTCCTCCTCCTCCTCCTCCTCCTCGTCCCCCCCCCTCCAAGCTGTGGTGGTGGTGGTGGAAACCAGGCCCATCGGATGTCCATCTCGAGCGTGCCCACGGGTACCTGACCGGCAGGGTGCGCGCCAGACCGGCGCGCTCTTCGACGTCGAGGCTTGGGTTATGTCGGGCGTGTCCCCCCGCGGGGGGATTGTCGACGAAGAATAAAAATACCCCGAAAATCTCCCCAAACTAACAAAATACTAAAAAAATGTCCCCAGACTATCTTTGGACTATGTTTTGACTATTTCTGGGGTATGTTAAACTTTTCGCCGAAGATCCCCGTGTAGGGGGACAGGCCCGACTGAAGGCTTGGGTCTCCGTGGGGGGTGTGCGAAGGGGAAAACGGCCACGCGGAGGGAGAAGGACGACGACCCTCAGGGGGGTGCAGGCGGAGGAGGATGGATCAGGGATGAAGAGAAACGAGGGAGGAGCGAGCACGGGGGGGGAGGGAGGGAGGGGGAGAGGGAGGAGGAAGGAGGATGGAGAGGGGGCGGGGTGAGGAAGGAGGGAGGAAGAGGAGGGAGGGAGGAAGAGGAGGGGAGAGGGAGAGGAGGGAGGGAGGGAGGAAGAGGAGGGAGGGAGGCAGACCCAGCAAGCAGCTCCAAGAACTTGTTCCAGCTCTCCATCAGTCGCCCAACACTGAAGGGGCCCTGGGACACACAAATAAATACACACAAATAAAAGGATTCCCCATATTTTCTCATATTTTCTGGGTTTCTGTCTTCCCCCCCAATCCCCATATTTTCCCATATTTTCCTGGGAGTGGACGATTAATTGTGTCTGTGTGTTTTTCCCCCTCCTGAAACACGCTCGGTGAGAGGCCCAGATGTTGGATGATGCTCTGCCACGTGTGCGGCAAGTCCACGACGGAAGACTTCCCCCCCTCGGAAGACCGCTGTCTCGGGAAATCCCGCAGGGAGGCGGCGAACCTGTCGTGCATCGGGCAGAGGTCGCATCCTGGGCGAGAAGGTCCGCCCCCAAGCCGGTCCTCGCTGCGATGCGTGCCGGAGCCCGTGCTGAACAAGAGGCCAGAGCCGAGAGGCCTGGTGGGGCCCTGGGACGAAGTCGGGCGTGTCCCCCTGCAAAAGGATTTTGGGCGAAAGATGCAAAATGGCCAAATATACACCAAATTAGTCAACAATGATCCAAACATCGTCCCCAAATAATTGTTGTTTGACTATTTTTGAATTTTCTCCTGTAGAGGGACAGGCCCGACTTAACCCTGGGACTGTGGGGCCTGCCCCGTCACAGCCGAGGTCGCGCCGGTGGACCCAGGGCAGCGGATCCTCGGTGGAGCCTGGCGCACCCCCTCTGATGGGCCTGTTTTCCACCACCACCACCACCAGAAGTTTTGTGGGGGAAGGAGGTGGAGGATGAGGAGGAAGAAGAAGACGAGGAGGAAGACGAGGAGGAGGAAGAAGAGGACGAGGAGGAGCTGGAGCCTGGCGCACCCCCTCGGCGGCCCGTGGAGGGCGACCCGAGGCCCCAGAGATCCAACGCAGTGAAAACATCCAGACGGCGGTTTTTCCAAAATTTTGGCCTCCCAGGGCCCTCGCCGGGCCCCGGGACCGTCAAGAAACGACTCAGGGTGAGAAACCGGTGCTGGGGAATGGGTCGAGACCTGCGGGGACCCCGCATGGAAAAAATCACGACATCGGATCTCTGTGGCCGAGGAAGGCCCGGGGTTGGAGGCCCCGCTGCCCCAGGCTTGCCCGACCCAGACCCCCGACGCCGTGATCTTTCCGAAGCGTCGCCCCCCAGAGTCGGGAGCGCGCAAGCGTGGATTAGCGACCCACGGATTTGGCGCGCGGTCGCCAACTCCATGGATCGGGAGAGGTGCGCTCCCCAGAATGTGGCCGGTTCCGCCTCGTTCGGCGGCGGAAGCCCGCGATTTTCAATGGAAACGGGACCCGACGCTGATCCACGACCCCTTGATCCATGTTTGCAATCGCCTGACTAACTGACCCCCGTTCGCAGTGACCCCCGACTCTTAAGCTCCAATCCTCGCCCCACCCTCCTCCTCCCCGGCATGCCAGACAGGCAGGCAGGGCACGGCCACGGTCAGGAGGTACGGGCTCTTCAGCTTCTCCATCGTGAGCGCCTCGGCGAGGGCGCCGTCTTCCCCGCCCCAGCGAGGAGAGAGGGACTGGAGGCGCCCGCCAGGGGCTGGCGCGAGGGGGGTGGGCTGCCATGCAGGCGGGAGGCATCGCGGCAGGCGGGGGCCTCCTTGGGGGGGGGCCTGGCGGATTCTAAAAAGGCCTCCCATACAGTGGAGGCCCGACCGCAAGAACCCCTCCACAAGAAACCCGACCCTGAGACCCCGGGACGTCCGTTGACTTTTGGTGTGGCAGCGCCGCGCCTCCCACGGCCAAACCCTCGAAACCCGAGAAACCCAGGGCACCCGGGAGGCAAGCAGGGTGCTTCTTGGCACGGGCCCCCCACTGTGAGCCAGGAGGACCTCTGCGAAGCCGATCGCCTTCCAGGAAGCCCCCCCGCCCGCCTCCGTAGGCGGCCGGCGGCCGCATCCCCCTCGCGCCACCCGCTCGCGGGCGCCGCCAAGGAACACAGGGGCGGGGGTCGGCTCTGGAGCGGTCTGGGCGGGACGGGACGGGAGGAGGGGCAGCAGCATGGCTCCTGGATGGGGAAGCGCTCAGACATCGGGCGTTTCGAGAGAATCGGGACCGAACTGGCTCGTCGTTTTCGGCCTCTCGGGGCCCTTCCTGGGCCTCGGGGTCGTCAACAAAACGACTCGGGACGAAAAGCCGGTCCCGGGGAAGCGGTCGGGAGGTCGGGGGCCCCTGTCTCGGAAAAGCCGAGACGTCGGATGTCTGGGAGGGAGGTGCAGGCAGGCGGAGAAAGGGGTTGGGGCCCGCGTATGCGTGCCTGGGGGGCCCTCTGCACATCTGGTGCCTCCAGGACGTGGGATGGGCAGCAGCGGGGAGGAGGAGGAGAAGGAGGAGGTGGGGGAGGAGGAGGAGGAGGAGGAGGAGGGGGAGGAGTAGGAGGAGGAGGAGGAGGA